GTGAACCAGCAACCCAATTCTGTGTAAGTGAAGAGAATCATCCAGACTGACTTCTGAACTTGCCTGCCTCCACAATCATGTGAACTATTTCCTTGATGGCTCTAGAGTTCTGTGAGATGTTGCAAGGAACTGTGGAACCCTGAAACACAGGCAGACTACTGAGAGAAGGATTAGTGGTTGATTTAAGAGATTATGGTGCGGTAGAGGACTTGAGAAATTTTGGACATCTGGGAGGTCTTTAGCCTCCACCTCATAGGGACTAGACTCATGCTGATGTTTCTTAAAAAATATATTGTCACAATAACCAGTGAAATTTGAATAACAATAGCTCATTGGAACATAAAAATAGTGACTATTATGTTGTTTGATCATAAATATGTCTAAAGAGTTGAAACAGTTAGAAAGTTAAGTGACCATGAGCCACTCCAGGTTTATTGAATGTTACATCATAGTCATTCTTCAGGTCATCATTTATCTTCTATAGCTCTGTGAAGTAGGTTCTATTAATATTTTTTTTTTTAAAGTCATAGGATCAGAAAGGACAAATCAATTATGCAAGTTCAAATCATGAATTTTAAATATATATATCTCCAAGGTCACAGAGATATTGGGAATTTGAACCAGGTTTCAAACACATATGGTCTAGCTCCAGTTTCCTGCTAATAACAGCTATTCTATATTATCTCTTAATGTCAGTTTTCTATTTCAATAATTACATCCCTGTGGTTACAGAGAGTAAAACTTCACAGGTATCAGATTGAAAGAAGAGAAACCACACTGGGGTTCATAAAATAATGAATACCAAGAAAATATCTGAGAGAGAAAATAAAGGCTATTAATGGATCAATAAATGGACTAGCAGCAAACTACTGGTTCATTTTTAATGAGTGACTGCACAAGCCAAAGTGTGTCCAGTATCACAAAGTGGATGAAGGACATAGTGTAGATGGGTTTAAAATAAATGTGTAGTGTGAGATATCAGGAATTAAGTAATAGGGAATAAGCTGAAAATAAGTAAACAAGGAAGGACCCACTTAAAGAAATAATTTCTGAATTTCTAACTTTTGAAATATGCCAGCCTATTAAGAATAAAGAAGAAAGTAAAATGTAAACAACAGCAAAAGCTTTTGCTAATCATTGTTGCTAATGATGTGTAAAAGTCTTCCAGGAACTTGTCAACATGGAGGTTACATCCATTAAAAGGGAAGGCCAGTGAGAAGATTTAATCCTCCATTACCTTCTGTTTCCTGGATCTTGTGAATTTTAATGATAAAAGATTGGCAAGGATAATTTGATCATGGTGAGCTCCAGAACCAAGAGAATCATTA